CTCCAGCGGTGATGGGCGTGTGGAGACACCTCACAGTGGTCTTGCCGGCATTTCCTGAAGGGCTGACGAAGTCGAGCGTCTGCCTGTGTCTGGCCATCCGTGTATCTCCTTTGTGACGTGTCTATTCGAAATGAGGCCCATTAAAAAAAAAACAAACACAAAACCTAACCAAAATAATTACGAAGAGCAGTTTTTAGGGGAGCAGAGGGACCGCCGCAGACGTCTGCCGTGAGGCTGTGGGGAGCTGCTTGGCCGCCCGTGATTAGGATCAGACGGGGGTTTGGTCCCAGCGCTAAAGGCATCTTGCTTCCAATTTAAAACATTTGTTGCTTTTCACTTTAAGGACAATTTTAAATAAGTTTAAGTTAAGCCTAGCTGATATACGGAAGTTAAAAAGTCAGAGAGAGAGGAGAAGGTGAGATGAAGCCTGCTGTGAAGCAGCTTTGAGAGGGATATCCCATCCTGCGAGTAGTTCCACGTTCATGAGTGTGGCTTGGTGACTGGACCTCGGGGAGGAGCCTGCTGGCCAACGGGGTCCCACGTCCCTGCACAGACCTGAAGCTTGTGTGCCTGTAATGGGGACACAAGGTCTAAATTGGAAGTTTGCACTTTTATTTGAACAAATTGCTTTCCTGGTAGAGCTCCTTAAGGAAAAAAGAAAAAAATCACCCCATCCTGCTCCCAGAATTAAGACTTTGAACACACAGTGCAACAAATGAAATGTATTCATAGCAGCTTTCTCATTTCATGGTTGTTGTGCATTTTGCGATGTGGTGATTTATTTGGCTTTTACCCGTGAGGCATTAGTAGCTGGAAATGGCACCGAAAGCCCCAGGCGCGTTGCCCTCCCAGACAGGACGGGCTCTTGGCTGGCACCCTGTCATTACATGGCCTGCTTGGTCACGTGCATTGTCATCGTGGTCCTGGTTGTCTGTGGTGGGCATGGGCCAGCTCACAAGCCCAGCACTGTTCAGGCCAACATGACTCTTGGAGTTTGGTCCGCCACGTGGATTCAAGTTGGTTTGGTGCCAAAGTAGTTGTTTCACAAGTGATTCTGGCCGAAACTGAAGTATCTCGAGATTAGCGAGTTGGAAATAAAGTAGATAGTAGAGAACCTATAGGAGAAGTAAAAGCGAGGTGTTTGGGAACATGGTATAGACACGGTGTGGCCGGGAGGTGGTGCTGGCATCACTTCTGTGCCGTCTCAGGAACCAGTGCTGTGACAGGTGTCCCCTTTGCCCCTTGGTCTCAGCCAGCACTTATCTTAACGTTACAGTGACATGGCATCTATGCCCCTTGTGGACCACAGGTTCCCCTCTGAAGGGGTCCCTTACTCATAAGGGTGCCACATGTGGACCTTTGAGTGCATGAAAGTGCCCTGTGCCCTGTGATGGTGGTCAGTTTATCCATCCACAGGTGTGAGTCCACATGTGTGTTCCCTGGACAGGTGTATGTCCTGTGGCCAGGTGTGTCCCTTGGATAGGTGTGTCCCGTGGCAAGGTGTGTGTCCCCTGGACAGGTGTGTCCTGCGGCCAGGTGTGTCCCCTGGACAGGTGTGTCCTGTGGCCAGGTGTATGTCCTGCGGCCAGGTGTGTCCCCTGGACAGGTGTGTCCTGTGGCCAGGTGTGCCTCCATTAGATGGTGTCCTCCACCAGGGCAGGGCAGGTGCTTTGCTGTCCTTGCCCTCATGCTGTGAGCTTGCTTTAGTTTGAAGTGTGTATCTCACATGTCAGTAGTTATATGACACGACTAGCTGTTCTGCCCAGGGTGCTTCCATTTTTAGGGTCGCAGCTGCTGAAAAGCAATGGGCAGCTGGCCGCAGGGCAGCCACTCTTCCTCTGCGGCCAGGTGGGCGGGACCCCCATGAACGTCTTCCTGATGCCAAGAGCCTTGACTGTGAAACGCAGATGCACCCGCTCTCCGGAAGCTTCTGCAGGGTCGATTATGTACATCCTCCGCATCCCCACAGCAGGCTGATCTGTGTTACAGTATCATTATTTTATTTTATTTTTAAAAAAGATTTTATTGGGGAATTGGGGGAGGAGAACAGTGTTGGGGAATCAGGGAAGGGGAACAGACAAGTTGCTATCCTTTTGTTCTTCAGTCTAGTTGTGGAGGACGTCGCTTCACTGGCCC